GAACTTACAACATATTGCATAACTGCTTGCCTTCTTGCAAAATAAAAAATAAATAAATGTTTGTATATTTGCCAGATTTTGGCCTAACAGTGTTCATTCATTCTAATGTATGGCATAGTTCCCTAAACTTCAGAAATACTTGTACATGTGAATTAAAGACATAAGTACAAAGATGCATTGTTTTAACCACCTTCCAAATACTGGGAATACGTAACCCACCAGTCAAGTGAGAGTGACTTCTCCTCTCCCCACCCCCATCTCTATCCTTTCCTGGTCAGACGAAAAGGGGACAGGAAACTAAAACACCTTTCCTCAGGGCAGGAAGTTGCTAAAAACAACCCTTTACTTGGGTAAAGTAAAGCAAAATCTTCATTGTAATGAAGACTGAAGCACTGCTGAATATATTAGTTGAACACATTTTAAGCGCTGAATCTAGATTGAATTTTTGTGACTTAAAGTAACTATATGACTGTTTATTACCTAGGGCTGATGGGAAAGTCATAGGATCTGTCCAACTTTCTATTTTGAGCCACAATAAATTTACCCACATTGAATGTATATAAATATATATATTTAACAGAGACAAGGCCTCGCTATATTGCCTAGACTGATCTCGAACTCCAGGGCTCAAGCAATCCTCCTGCTTCGGCCTTCCAAAGTACTGGGATTATAGGTGTGAGTCACTCACTGCACTAGGCCAGGTTGAATAACTTTTAAAGGGATAGAGGGAAACAAAAATAACATTTGTTTTAATCTCACCATAAAACATTTTTATTCAATGTGCTTTTTGCACAAATATTTCAGTATAAACATTGAATTTACAATTGATAGAAATATTGGACGAAAACTACATTTCTTCCTCTTAGTATAGCTGGTTTTCTTGTGGTGACTCAACTCCTGTATATAAATCACAAAAAGGTTTTATTTTTCTATTAGATGCTATAATCTATATTCTGTTGAAACCTCCACTACTCCCTCCATTATATATAATATATATAAAGCGGCCTTAATGTTATCTCTAATATCATTTTACTCTTGTTTTCGCTTATTAAAACAGCTTCATTACATTAAAACTTAACTACACATTCTTAAAAGTGATCATCTCAATGTTCTCCCTCTCTCCCCAGCTGCTGCAGGTGCAGATGAAGAGATGAAGAGAAGGGCAGTCTTTTCTCTCAAAGCTTTTCTCCATCCCTTTTCCCAGTAGTTTCTCCAGATAGATTACTGTGCCCCTCTGTTGAACATCACTGCTGATCTGTTTTATAAACTCAGCAAGGTTTAAGACCAACTGATTCCAAGGATCTCCTAACAAGCAGCTATTCTGAGATGGTAGTCCCTTTCTATGGATTATACCTTCCTACTATTCCCAAATTGTAGGCTTCGCACAGAATTTCTCTGAGCTAGGTACTTTACTTCTCCGTGTGGTGGCCTCTGGCATCAGACTTCAATTTTATTAACACTTTGTAGTCAAATACAGAGGTGGCCTGAGGCCTGGGTCTCAAGGCATCAGACCTTGGCCTCTCCACATCTTTACTGTCACCCTCATCTCTCCCCAATGCTGTACACCAAGGTTTACAAACTTTTACTGTAAAAAGTCAGAGAGTAAATATTTTAAACTTTGCACACTATACCATGTCTGTCACAATGACTCAATTCCACCATTGGAGCTCCAAAGCAGCCACAGACAATACACAATCCAATGAGCATGACTATGTTCTAGTAAAACTTTACTTGTGGACACTAAAATATGAATTTTATATAATTTTCACATATTATGAAATAGCACTCTTCTAGTTTTTCCAATCATTTGAAAATGTCAAAGACTATTTTATCTTGCAATTATACAAAATCAGGTGAGAGTAGATTTTGCCCGCTGCTGATGTTTGCCTGTCTTCTCTACTCTAACTCTGTAGCTCTACAGTCAGGGATGCAAGCCTGTGTCTAAATCAATATCCTACCTTGCAATGGGATGCCTTCTTGCAGTTAGTCTCAAACTTCATAAGCAATTACTTAAGGAAACCCTTTCCCCACCAACATCAATGAAGGTAATTGGTTCAGTGCCTCCTTCACTCTTCTATGGGAAGGATGGAGAAGACAGATGGTTTCCCTCCAAGAACAGTACACGCGTCCCTTCTATCACAATAATGTCCTAGGACCTCTCTTACATATCATGATAGAAAAGGCCACCAAAACAGCTCAATACTCCTCAAACCCCCCAAACCGTATTCTCTCAGATTGGGCCTTGGGGAATTTAATCATCCCTGTAGTTTAGTGAACAGTTCAGATAACTAAATCTCAGTCAGTGCCTCATATTATTGTTATATAATTTTAAAAATCAGAAACATTTGAGTCTTTTAAAAAATACTTCCCCAAATGGGGCCCTCAATTGAACTTTCAGGTAGCTTAAGAGCTATTGCTGTATTTAAATAAGGTGCAATTAAAGTTCAATGTTCTGAGTCCTTCTTTTACTACCTCTAAGAGTCATAGAAATCAGGAAATGACCTGGGAACCATTCACCATCTGAATGGCCAGTGTCACTCTCAGATGACTAGCTGTCAGTCTTTACTGCAACCATAAGAAAGGTAGCTGCTGGTGTCACAGCTGTCCCTAGAATATCATCAGCCTCTCTCTTGATAATCTAATAGACCTTCTTCAAGGCAAAACAATGAAGAGAAGGCCAAGAGTTAAACTAGTAGTTATGCTGCACATCAAAGCTATATCTTCACAACCTTTCACAGTCCAGGGTTAGCATCAGTCAGAATGATTCCTAAGATTTCCATGGACACTCAAAAATATCTCAGGATAGGCTCAAGACTAAAGAACATTCAATATAATAAAATTGTATATAATCCCATGTTACTTGAAGAATCATAGACTAAGTCCCACCTGCTATTTCTTGTCTCTGGAGCTGAGAGCCACTAGCTGATAATTATTGAAACACATTTACAGGTGAAATTCCTAAGGACTTCTCCACCATATAAATACATATACATTTATTTTAGGTGGTCTCTGAGATCCTGATCCCATTAGACATTTTTAAAAAAATATATCTGCTGTCATTATTAAAAGTATATTTATTGGCCAGGCTCAGTGGCTCAGTCTGTAATCCCAGCACTTTGAGAGGCCAAGTTGAGTGGATTGCCTGAGCCAGTGGGTTCAAGACCAGGCCCAGGAACTTGGCAAGACCTAGGCTCTACAATAAATCACAAATTAGCTGGGCGTGGTAGCGCGAGCCTGCAGGTCTGGCCACTTGGAAGGCTGAGGCAGAAGGATTGCTGGAGCCCAGCAGGTCGACGCTGGGGTGGCCACGAGTGTGTCACTGCACTCCAGCCTGGGCAAGAGATGCCAACTCAAAAAAAAGTCTATTTATGCATGCTTGGTTAGAAACACACCATTTTGCACTGCGATGTTTATATTACAAGTAATAAACCTGAAGACTTTCACCAATAATGCAATAATGCATGACCAAATTACAGTTTTGTGTATTGTATCTATTTGATTATGTGTCTGAATCAATGTTATCTCTCTCTAATTCATGAAAAACTTAAAGATGGACACTTGTAATTTAGTAACTCCTCACTCATGGATAGACATATTTGAATGATGTCACTCGATTTGAATAACTACAATGAAGAATCCACAGTCATAGATCACATGCTAGTAAACACAATTGAGTTTTTTTGGTGAAATGTTAAAATTTTTTGCTCATTTGCATTTTCTAAATTTCTACAATGATCCTTCATCAATCGCTATTTTTACAAAATAGTTTTTAAGTCTTGTGAAATACAGCAATTTTCATAATTTTACAAAAGAGTAAATCAGCTCAGGGAAAAACGACAGTAGCAGAATTAAGAGGCTCTGGTTTCTTCTATTCCCAAGTGAGTATTTTTTTTTCTTTTCATACCTTTTAAGATAATTGCCGAGACAAACCACCAAAGAACTTAATGAGGACACTTAATGAAGGCAATTAAAATAGAAACTATTACCTGACAAAGACACACTCAGAATAACTTGAATTGAGTTTGGAACCTTGGATTCATTTGTAATTTGCCTGACTGGCACTTCTTCCTTGGATTCCAAACATAGAATTTATGCATTCACAGCCAAAAGTAAAGAATCTGCTTAAGGACTGGCTTTTCAGTACACACCTTGTTTTCTAGTGATTTATCTCCAGCCCTAACCTTTTTCCACCTTTGCTGTTAAGGGGCATGCCTCTCTCTGCTTCTGATTTAGATGCAAGGTCTTCCTTATTTAGGATTTCATCAAGGAGAAACCCAGTCTCACATACACAGCACAAACTAAACAAAATGGTTGGTTTTTCAATGTTTTTTTATTACACTGATTCAGTATCCTTAGTAGAAGAATATAATAAGGTTATCAATCTGCTTTGGCCAAAAAAAAAAAAAGAAAGAAAAAGAGAAGGGAAGGAAGGAAGATTGTGGAAGCTATGTAGGGTGCAGACTAGAACTAGCTGTACTCTCATCTCTTCACAGAGATGAGAACAGTTGCCACAAACAGTGTAGTGCATCACAAGAGGTTTCACTGCTGCTCCACAGTCTCCAAACTGCAGAGAGGAGAGGAAAGCAAATTCTGAAAGACATTCCAATGCAACTGCAGTCAAACATTATCTGGAAAACTGCAGGCACAGAATGCAGGCATATATAAAAGCTCAAACGTGCTTCAAAACTTGGACTACTTGAGTCTACAATTAAATTCTCATTTCCTTAACTTACAAAGAAATCATACCCATTTAAGAAAGTTACTTCTACATTAGTCCACACCCCAATCTGTTGTTTGTAGTCTTACCAGAAAATCTGTATTAGGCAGCTGTTCTATTTCCTATTGTTACTTACAATTTAATAACCCACTTTAATGATTGACAGTAACATTTGTCTTTACAGTCACAGATGAACAAAAAGATAAACTTAAATTGCCAAATTAGAAATGAACAAGGGTGTTAAATGGGTTTGCTTAAAAAAAAATACTACACAAATAATGGTTTTGTACCAAGCATGAATTTAATATGATACCAGTACTTTAAGACTAAAGCCAACAGACACTTGTTAAGAAATGAGCTTATTTTAGTCCATTAAAGTATATTTCACGGCTGCTGTGATGTGTCTAGCACTGATTCCAAACATATCCAGCAATTCACTAGGTTTTCCACTTTGAGGCACTCCTGACACTGCCAGCTGATGAACAATGATGCCAGGCTCCCTGGAGACAGCTGCAGACACAGCTTCTCCAATGCCACCTTCTCTGTAATGATCCTCCACTGTGATAACCCGGCCACCTGTGGCTTTTGCACTGGAGATGATGGTTGCAGCATCCAGGGGTTTAATAGTAAATGGGTCGATGACACGGATAAAAATACCTTGTTGAGAAAGATTGTCAGCAGCTGCTAAAACTTCATGTAGAGTAACTCCAGCTCCAATAACTGTGACCTTGTCATTAGCAGTGCAGCGGACTACCTTGGCCTGACCAATCTCAAAATTTTCTTGTGGGGTATAAATAACTGCAATTTCTGGTTGGCTTGTTCGAATGAAGCACATTCCCTTGGCATTGGCAGCTAGATAAACAGCATGCTCTGTCGAGACGGCATCACTTGGATAAAAAATAGTGCAATTGGGAACGCACCGAAACATGGCTAGATCCTCCAGAGCCATCTGGGAAGATCCGTCTTCTCCAGTGGAAACCCCACAGTGGGAACCAATAAGGTTGATACTGGTTTGAGAGATGGCTCCCATTCGGATCTGATCAAATGCTCGGGTGAAAACAGCAGCAAAATTACTAGCAAAAGCAATGGTTCGATCACGTGTGGCACAGCCCAGTGCCACGCTCACCATATTTTGCTCACCAATAAAACACTCTATAAAACGTTCAGGGTGTTCTTTCTTGAATATTTCAAAAAAGGTGGAGTTCACTGTGTCACCATTCAGAACAATAACTCTTTCGTTTGCATGGCCCAGTTTATCCAGAGCCAAATAGCATGCTTTCTGCGTTGCTATCTTGTCGCCAACTATGTATTCGGGCGGAGAGGTCATTTTTACATTCGTGATGTTGATTTGTGGCGAGTCTTCCACAGGGGGTTTCGGTAGAAGATTGCGGTGGGCCTGCAGCTGACTCTGAATCAGCTGGATGACTGCCTCTGCTCTTTCTTGCGGCATTGGCTTTCCGTGCCAACCTTCCGCATCCTCGATGTCTGGAATACCCCGGCCCTTGAAGGTCTTGGCGACTATGGCAGTGGGCTTGTGCTTCACCCGGGCGGCCTGCCAGAACGCCTGGCACAGCGCGGCCACTTCGTGGCCGTCCACCAGGCAGGTGTTCCACCCAAAAGCCTCGAAGCGGCCCTGATAGGCCTCAGTGCAGTGCCCCAGGGGCGCCGGCCCGCTCTGGCCCAGACGATTCACGTCCAAGACCGCCACCAGGTTGTCCAGCAGGTAGTGGGAGGCAAAGGCCAGGGCTTCCCAGACTGAGCCCTCGGCGGCCTCGCCGTCACCCAGCAGGCAGAAGACGCGGTAGCTGGCCCGGTCCAGGTACCTGCCGGTGTAGGCCATGCCGCAGGCGGCGCTCAGGCCCTGGCCCAGGGACCCGGTGGCCACGTCCACGAAGGGCAGGCGCGGGGTGGGGTGGCCCTCCAGGTCGCAGCGCGCGCTTCTCAGGTGCAGCAGGTCGGCCTCGCCCAGGCCGCCTAACTCCGCCCACACAGCATAGAGGACCGGCGCGGCATGGCCCTTGGAGAGCACGAAGCGGTCGTTGTCTGGGTGCCGCGGCTCGGCGTGCTTGAACCGCATGGTGTGGAAGAACAGCACGGCCACGATCTCGGCCACGCTGCAGCACGACGTGGGGTGGCCGGAGCGGCAGGCGCTCGTGGCGCGGAGGGAGTGGATGCGCAGGCGGCCGGCCGTGTCCCGCAGCGCCTGCACCGTCTCCTCGTCGGGCTGGGCGTCGTCGGCCATGGCAGCGCTGGTTGGTACCCGCCGCCAAAATGGCGCCCGAGCTATTTCCCTGCCGGCGCCCCTGTCCCGTGACCGACGCCCCCACCCGCCCTGCCCCGTGGAACAAGCTCTGAATCCTCTAAGCTGTGCCCCACAGGTTTCCGTGAGATCTGGGCACTGCTGTGAGACCTGGGAAACTCGCGATACCTTGGAAACTCGCGAGACCTGGGAGACTCGGTTACCCGGATCGCTGCGCTCTTCCCCTCCTCTCTCCGTTGTGGATGTTTAACGCTTATTACGAGTTCAGCATCAGTAAACATAACTTGATTTTTAAAATATCTTTCCTTGTGTTATAAATTCAAAAATAAGCTGCTTTCTATGTAGTACAAGGAGCTTGCAGCTGAGCTTCTCTATGCGTCAACATAGACACACACCAGAGACACCTTTCTCTTTCTCTCCCATGGGAACATACACAGGATCCGAACTCACCTCAGTGTAACCCGCTAACAACACTTCTCCACAGAAACCCTCAGAGCAGCTCAGGGCTTTCAGTCTCAGACTTAGAAATAAGTACAGTGATTCGTACTAGGGTCACTCAGGTAACCACGGGGAGGGATTCACTGTGACCACTGGGACTGCTCATGGAGAGACTCACGGTGACCCGGGGGGGGATAACTCATGGTGCCGCTCCGGGTGACTCATGGCAGCACGTGGGATCATCCACAGTGACCATGTGGGTTGACTCGTACCATGTGGGATCACTCAATGGTGACCTTGTGGGGTGACTCACGGTGACCATGTGGAGTCACTCAGGTAACCAGTGGGGTGACTCATGGTGACTATGTGGGGTCAATCATATGACCATGTGGGATCACTCAATGGTAACCGTGTGGGATGACTCATGGTGGCCACATGGGATCACTCACATTGACCATGTGGGGTGACTCATGGTGATCGTGTGAGGTCACTCAAGTAACCAGTGGGATAACTCATGGTGACTACGTGGGACCACTCATGATGACCATTTGGAATCACTCACAATGACCATGTAGGATGACTCATGACATGGTGACAGCGTAGGATCACTCATGGTGACGTTGTGGGATCACTCACAGTGACCGTGTGGAGTGACTCATGATGATCATGTGAGATCACTCACAGTGCCGATGTGGGATTACTCACAGTGACTGTGGGGTGACTCATGGTGACCACATAGGATCACTCACAGTGACTGTGGGGTCATTCAGGTAACCATTGTGTAGGATGATTCATGGTAACTGCGTGGGGCCACTCGTGCTCATGTGAGTTTACTCAGGTAACCATGTGGGGTACTCATGGTGACAACTTGGCATCACTCACAATGCCCCTATGGGATCACTCAGGTGACCACACAAGATCTCTCAGGTGACTGTGTGGAGTGGCTCACAGTAACCCAGTGGAATCACTCAGGTGACTGCAGGGAATTACATAAGTGACCTCATGGGATCATTCGGGTGACTACACAGGGTGAGTCATGGTGACCAAATAGAGTAAATCAAGGGGCCATGTGGGATCACAGGTGACTGCTAGAATTACTCGTGGTAATTGTATGAAATCACTCAGGTGATTTCATGGGATCACTCAGTGACCTGATGGGGTGACTCACAGTGACCGTGTGAAGTTACTCATGATGATTATATTGAGTCATTCATGGTGACCATGTGCGATGACTCACAGAAATGGTGACTGTGCAGGATCACTCATGGAGACTGTGTGGGATGATGATCTCATAAGATCACTCATGGTGACTGTGTGGGGTGGTGACTATGTGGATTGACGGTGACAGTGTGCAATCACTTACAGTGACTGCATGAGATGACTCTGGTGACCGTGTGGGGTGACCACGTGGGGTGATTCACAGTAACTATGAGGGTTGACTCACAGTGACTGTGTGGGATCACTTACTAGGAGGTGGGACTCCTGCAGACATAACTCAGTTCAGTGTAAGATAGAAAACCGATCCAAGCTTAACTAGCCAGAAACCTCCAGTTGATCTTTCATGAGGCACTTTTGCTGGAATGACCAAAATGAGGTCGCTGCTTTACTTTTAGTAATCAAGTTTTCCTTTCCTGCTTCCATGTTGATCCTACAAAGGTCTCACCTTTCGCCTTTCATCAGGATCTGACTAGTCCATGGATGACTGTCAAATGAATGCCCCACTGTTTTAATGTGCCTTGGTTTATGGTTTTATTTTTTGGTTTTGGGGTTTTTTTGGAATTGGAGTCTCATTCTGTCACCCAGTGAGGAGTACAGTGGTGAGATCACCGCTCACTACAGCCTCAACCTCCTAGGCTCAGGCAATCTTCCTGCCTCGGCCTCCTGAGTAGCTGGGATTATAGGCCTGAGCCACTGTACCCAGCCTCAGCTTATCTTTTAATGACTGTTAACCACAAATAATTTTTAAAACAAAATTAATTTACTCTATAAAACTCAATTTGTGCCATTGAACTCTTCTACCAGGCAAAGATTAGTATTGAGTATTTTTTAAAAAAAACCAGACATAAACACACAAGGAAAGCACATCACACTCTCCCACACTGCAATGTTAGACATCTTAGTTCTTCAGCAATGACTCTTAACCTTGACCTCACATGAAAATCAGAATACTTAAATAAAAAACAAAAAACCAATGCCTGGGTTCCACCCCAAACAAATTAAAGTTGAATTTCTGGAACTAGAATCTAGGAAGCTATATTTTAAAAAACACCCATTGATTCTATTGTGTATCAAGGTTAAGAACAGATAATTTGGAGACAGACCAGTGGCTCTCAACCTTACTTGCACTTTAGAATCATCTGGGGAGTTAAAAAAACAAACAAACAAAAAAAAAAACTCATGTCCAGGCTGCACTCCAAACCAATTAAATCAGAATTTCCGGGCAATGGGTTTTGGCATCAGTAATTTTAAAAAATTTTCCCCAGACAGTTTCGATGTTCAGACAGAGTTGCAGAGTTGTAAACTAGCTCAGGGGCTATTTCTACTCTTTATATTCAGTAGTTTTTACATTATGTCTCAGAAAAATATCTTAAATATTATTTGTTATTTCAACCAGTTCTATCATTTTAATCATTAAGGACACAGAATAAATGGTAATGGTTGACACTAGCAAGATTTTAAGACTTGCTGCAAGAATGTAGTCATTGGACAAGTCCTTGAGAGGTCATCATATGTTCTAACTCCTCATGCCCTTTGCAAATGAATGTCTACTTATCTTTTTAGACAAGTAAAGGAAAATATAAGCAGACTAGATTAGAACTAGTAGTAAAGAAAATAGGAATTAGAGAAAAAATAGACACTGTATCATAATAGCAAATGACTAGGGGTTGGTGGGAAAGCAGTTGATATAAATACACGTAGCTCACTACTATTTTGGTTAATGAGAGCTCTAATAAAGTCATACAAATTGTCAGCATAATAGTATAAAAAATAATTGGATGGGTGACGTGGCCCATGCCTGTAATTTCCAAATTCTTCTGTTCATTTAAAATGTTGCACAACCACTTCCTCAAGTATTAAGTAGAAAATTTTAGTGTTAGTAAAGGTCAATTTTGTTAAGAAAGAATGTGGTTTTTGAGATTTAATACCCTAGATAATGAGTGAAAATTTCCCTCTATCATTCTATGAGACTGGGCTTTTAAATACAGTATAGAAAATGATCTTTTGTAAATTATGCCTAAAATATTTATAAAGTATAATGAGTTTTTAAAAGGGAACTCTGGAGAGTCATATATATGTATAGGTACATACATAAGTTGTTAAAATTATTTTATTTAAGCACTTTAGTCTTTTAAAATATACAAGTGTAAATAACTGTATAAATACAGGTTGAGCATCCCAAATTATGAAACCTGAAATGTTCCAAAATCTGAAACATGTTGACCACCAACATGTTGCTCAAAGAAAATGCTCATTGGATACTTCAGATTTAAGATTTTTGGATTAGGGCTGCTTAACCAGTAAGTATAATCCAATGAAATTCTAAATTTGAAATCCAATGAAATGATTCCAAGCATTTCCAATAAGAGTACTCACCTTGTATAAAGTATGCATAATTTGATAATGCAAAATTACCCAATGTGGCTGTAAACACAACTTAGTCAAATAAATCAAGCAAAGACATCATTCCAACTTTCATCTCCCCTACTCAAAGAGGGTTTTACTGACAAAAGACCAGCCAAAATATTTCAAGCCAGTGTGCCAAAAATGTAGTTGTCTTGGAGAAAAGTTCATTATTCATTTTAGAGGTTATTTTGGAAGCCAGTTTAAAGTTTTCTGTAAACAGAAAAAAAATATCCATTTATTAAACTTGGTCATTCACATGAAATAGGGATTGGCAAATTCAAGTGCCTACTGGTCTAGGGAGGTACCATGAGTTCATGAATGTTGGGCATAATATAAAAGGGTTGGAGGGACTTGTGTTAAACTGGAGAACACAACCCATCAAAAGGCATTCAGAATTGAAAAACTTGTGGACATTTTGTTGGACAAATAAAACAATACACACCTCAGGCTTCCAGTTTTGACCCCAGTTTAAAGTATTGATTGGTGATTGATCGATTGATTGAGTTGGGGTCTTACTCTGGAGTGTGGTGGCATAAACATGGCTACCCAGTCTTGACCATCTTGGCTCAGGCAATCCTTCTGCCTCAACTTCCCAAGTATCTGGGACTACAGGCACATGCCACCATGCCCAGCTAATGTTTTGATTTTTTTTTTTTTTTGTAGCGACAAGATCTTACTATGTTGCCAAGGCTAGTCTTGAACTCCTGGATTTAAGGATTTAAACAATCCTCTCACCTCAGCCTCCCAAAGTGCTGGGGATTACAGACACTCTGAGCCACTGCACCCAGTCACTATCTGTTTAAAAAACAATATGTTTTGTTTTTGTTTTAACTTGCTTGAATTTTTTTTACTATAATTTTTTTTCTCATAGTATTGACAAGTATCTATTATAGTGTGTACTTCAAATGACAATAGAACCT